CCTGAGAACCAAACAGTGCACAAATCTGGTGAGTGTTCACCGTCACGTCCCGCTTCCTGGGGTTCGGATGAATTCCTCGGCAGAGGTCTCTCCAAGAATACTCAGCATGCCTGGAGGGCCGATCATTACAAAACTTCCCGAGGCCGTCAACACGCGCACCAGTGCTGTGGTAACGGCATTTCACGCAAACAAAAAGGTGCGAACCGTCACTGCAGGAGAAGGCCAACACGCGATGGCGCAGCGACACAAGCACACCTTCGTCGAGTTTGCTCCTGCCCGTGCATATACCACGTGTCCAGGCTTGTCCCAGGAGAGCCTGGGCTTGGGGGCAGGCGGAATGTATTCGGCATCTGACAGGTCAAGACGGGGCCACTCTAAAAGAAGCTTGGCCCCCAGTCGACACACTGCTTTGGCAATGTCGATCCTCTTGCTGAGATCTCCACTGCCATTAACATCGGTCGCATGAAACGAAAGCGCTGCTTTGGCCGCAGCATCTGCATCGTTATTGCATTTACGACAAAAGTGTTCAAACTGATCGATGCCAGCTTCATCTATGTCTTTGTGATCAGCAACCTTGACAATATCAGAAATGCACGTGCCTTCTCGAGCATTGGCTTCCATGATTATGCCACTGTACACCCTCTTACCCGAGAGGCGCTCGACAGGAGGCAACTTAGAATGCTTAACAACATTCAAGCAATCAGAGTACAGAGTGGAAGGGTACTTGGCCATATTACAAGCCATGCCACGAGCTAAATATTCTCCAGCCTGAGGGGTCTGAGGGTATTGAGCCCACACAGGCCCCATCACCTCGCCTAAAAGGTCCCCTCGGTCGTTGTGCATCGTGATAGCCCACGACGCACGGCTGAGTTCACGAATTATGTGCCGCCTGCAAGACCCATCGAGAAACAGCGAGCCCCAGACAGCACCTTCATGGGGAGCCTCTAAGCCTTCGGGGCCCTCGAGCTGATCACAATGCCAGCGGAACACCACATTACCTTCGAGACAGGGCCTCGGAAGGGTATCGGCGGGATGGGCGAGAGCCCCGAAACAGAATAGGAGGTCCGAGTAGCCTTCAGCCTCAGTGTCTAGGGCCGCAGCTATGATCCAATCCTTAGCAAGCTCCGCTCTCTGATCGCACACATGTGGGCATACCCACAGACGGTGGCGAAGGGAATCGGGCGCACCGCAATGGACGCACTTAGCACAGACTTGATACCCACAGGAGATGGCACGATCTGGCGTTCAAATGGCGTTACACGCCAGAGCTCGCACCATGCCTTTTTTCACTGGCAGAAAACTTGCTGGACGCAAGAGCGGCTCGGGGGACATCCAGGCAGAGGCGGCCTCCAGACGACCATTTGCAACCCAAATCCCTTTCAAGAGCTCTGATCATACCTTCCCGACAAAAAATGCACAGCAGAGCAGGGGAGGTCACTCCGAGGGGAATGTGGTACCCTCTGTCGTCTATGATGGTCATGAAATTGTCCATATGCCACCCTAATCTGACCAGGCTAAGCCTAAGAGCGGAAACAGGGCCCCCGACAAGACCCCAACTGATTTTGCTAAGGCCCCAGACGGCATTC